ATTAAAATTTTTGGCAATTTCCGTCCTGAATTCTCAACTTTGTAAGCGGTGAAATATGCGCTTGCTAGGTTGTTAGTTCAAACCCTACCATGGGGATTCGTGGAAGTTAGTTGCCGTATTAGAGAGCGAGGGATGCCTCCTCACCCTTTCATCCGTCCTCATGCTCTGGGGGAGCGAGTTTATTTTTATTTTTATTTGCAAAATAAAATTCAACAAAAATTAAAATAAAATTTCAATTTTTTACTTTGACCAAAATAACTATTCATTTTTATTTTCCTTTTGCTTTGGAAAATTTGCTATTGTTTACTGATAAAAAAGCATTTTAAGCTTTTTTAAGGCACCGATATTATTACTATTACTATATAGTTCTAGAACTATCTATACGTATAATATTGATCTACCCATTTCTAGCAATGTCCATATTCTCATTCTAAATCATTTTTATTTATTTATTCTTACATGGGATCAAGTGTTGTTGAACTGTCCCCTTTTGCTTTCTTTTTTACAACGATACAATATAGTAAGCATACGTTTGGGCGATTTAATTTTGCATGTTATCAATGAGATCTCATAAAACGATCATTCACTTTCATCAGAGTTTGATTCTGACCTTAATTCATTGTATTCATTCATCTCTTGATAGTTTGTTTTCATTCCACTCAATTAAATCTTTTTTTATGCGTGTGAGAAAAGTGGTGTGATTTACCTTCTCCAAAATATTTTTCCTAGAAATTTGGGCAATTTTCACTTGATCACGTGATTTTGACCGATATATTAATTAAAAAACGAAATAAACCACAGTGAATCAAAATTACTATTACATTGGCATTCATTGTTACGGTCCAATGATTATTTTTTTTATTAAAACTTGTCACAAGAGAGTATTTTTTAAAATCCTCTGATTTTTTGTCTTTCCTTCTTATATCAATACCCTCACCTATTAAAGTTTCATTCTTATTCTGATAACTTTTTGTATCTATTGAAAGAAATGGTTAGTAAACATACATTTATGTTGTAACTACCTGCTATAATAAAATAAAGAAATTCATTTTTTTTATCCATCCGTTAACGGTTTTTTCGTTGTACATATTAATATGGTGATCACCGACATGCGAGATCTGATTATCTGTTTTATATTATTTTGTATGTCATTAAAAATTTGATTTAAAGTAATTACAACACTACGAAAGAAAATTTTACATGAAATATTTTCTTAAATGTAATCAATCATTTCTTTCTGTAATGTATTTATTTATATTTATAAAAAGAAACAAAAAGAAAAATTTTTTGTAAAAAAAAAAAACTGATAAATATAAAATTTTTTTTCTTTAAGAATTGATATTATCCATGTTAATTATTATTATTATTATGATTAATTGATCGCTGATGAAAAAAAAAAGTAAATAATTCGATTATAATAAAGCCAAAAATTATACGAATTCCACGCAAAAAAATAAATAAACTTAAAAAAAAATTAAATAACTTCGATTATAAAATTTTTTTATAATATGATAAAAAGTAAAAAAGTAAAAAAAAACGCGTTAATTTTTTTTTAATTGTATTATGTATGTGGGTGAGTGTGAGAATTTATGTATATTTATATATTTATAATTATTTATATAATAATAACGTATTATATAAATGTATGTATGTATGTATTTATAAAATCTAAAAAAAAAAAAATCCATATAAACAACTTCTGTAATCTACCAACTATATGCTATATACTATATATACATATATATATTTAACAGTTACTAATTGCGACATCAAATGAAATGTTTGTCTTTGATTACTTTTTTGATTTTGTTGTTCTATTTAAATTATTAAATTATTTATTTCGATTATTAATTATTAATAATAAAGATTAGAAAAATTTTACATTTCAAAATATTTATTAGTTAAACAAAAAATTAATTGATCAATTTCAATATTCTAGAACAACCGAGCTGTTATCCAACTGTCTGTATATTTGAGAAGTATACAATATTTGTTGTTCGTCGTTTGACGATCTCCTTTGACGTTTTGATGATGATGCGACAGTAGCTGTTATTGATTGAAAAGAGTCATTTGTTGTTGATGCAATATTTGGATATTGTGTTGCGGCAGTTGGAGCAGATGTTGATAATATGGAAGCAGTTGTTTGTTGCATACTATTGTTACTAAAGCCACCAGTGCCGTTCATAAGAGCGTTCATGGGATTATTGTGTTGATGATGTTGCTTTGAAGTCATCGATAATGAAACTCTTTTACCCATGACGCCCATACTTGGGCCACCAGGACCCATTTGAACCGTACTCTTACCAGTTTTATTACCAGAGGTTTTAGTTGTTGATGTCGAGCCATTACGGTTGCGTTTTTTTATCACGTCAGTTTTTAGACTCAAAGGCCTGACCACACCATGTAATTTTAAGAAAAGACCGCAAGCATTACATAATGGTTGACCTTCAGGATTGCGACGCCATAATGGTGTGGTTTGGGTAAGACAATTTGTACAAGTTGTAGGTATTGAGTTTTTTGATGATGATAAGTTGTTGCTACTGCCGTCTTTGTTGTCAATCGATAATGGCATCGATTTGGGTGATGTTGTCAGCGTTGTAGAAGTTATTGGTGAAATTGGCGAAATCGGTGATGTAGGTGTAGAGCTTGATGCTTTTATTAAGTTTGTATTTAATTGTGGATGTGTTGATGACCGTGATGATGATCTTTGTCTTTTACCTGACGACATTGTTACAGATTTAGTAGTGATGGCAATTGTTGGTGACGTCGTCGACGTCGTCGTCGTTGATTGTGACGGTGATATTATAGTGTCAGGTAAATTTGGTGAGGTAATAGGAGAATTTGAATTTTTGACAATACTTATTGATGATTGTCTTTTGGGGTTATTATTGTTGTCATCACAACTACCAGTTATAGATGATGGTATTATTTGATCGTCAATTAAATTATTGTTAGCATCATTGTTGACGCTGTTATTATTCCAACGATTATAATCGGAATCTAGCGTTTTTATTTTACAATTTTCTATATTTGGATGTAAGATGATGGGATCAGTTGACATTAGATCATAAGATGAAGATAATAAATTGTTATGATTATTGATGTGAGATGATGACGTATTTGCTAATTGATTATCATTTGATTCAGAATTTACATAATAAATATTAACCATTCCAAAAATATTGTTGTTAGCACCATTACTAATATTGTTATTATCACCATTACAAAATTCTGCTGTGCTATTGTTGTAATCAAAATAAAACCCATTATTATCTATGGGTGTTAATGGAGTATTACTAGTTGATTGGTGGTGATTGGTGGTGAATGACGATAACGAATTATCGTTGATGCTACTACCAGGGCTTGCGAAATTATTATTAGAATAATGATAATGAGGAACTGAAATGTTCATTAAGGATGTAGTTGTTGACGGGGGTTGAGATTGTGGTAGTGACAGTTGCGATGCATTAGATGAGCAATCGATTGTTATTGGTTGACCAAAATGAGAAGTATAAGGATCTGAGAAGGCAAATTGATTGGTCGTTGATGTGGTTGTAATGGAAGATGACATTGACTCCGATTCTACATTTGAGTCATCAGGAGGAGTATCATTAGGGATTGTGATACTTGGTAACCTTGATGCTTGACGATAATTTGTAGATTTTGGTTTTTGTGACTAACAAAATAAAATAAAAAATAATATAAATATAAATAAATATAAATAAATAAATATTAAACCCTACAAAAACCCCTATGGTTTATTTATTTATTGATCAATATTAATAAAAACATTAATAATAAATTAATTAATTAATTAAAAAAAAATTTAATATAAATAAAAAATTTTTTTATATTCAAAGAACGTAAATTTTAAAATTTTATTTAATCATCACATAACAACAAAATAGGGGGATTTTACATTGTATAATTCAACATTATTAATCACTTCATTATATATTATTTTTATAAAAATTGAAAAAAATACTTTTTTTAATTTTTTTTTTTTTGTTCGTTTTTTTATAAAAAATATTTATAATTTACATAATTTATATATATATAATTTTATAACTTCTATAGCATCATCTATCTTTTAGTCGGGGTCTTTATAAAAGATTTTTTATTTGTTTTTCATGTTTATTTAAAAAATTATTTTTCTTCACTTTTTTTTTCTATAAAAACAAAACTTGAAAAAAAGAGTAATAAATAAAAAAAGAAGAAATTGAATAAATGAATTAAAGAATAAACGAACCACAACTAACCAAGTATAAACGAACGAATGAACGACTAAGGGCAGATTTTCTTTAAAAAATTTAAAGCATTAAATATATAATCAATAAAAAATTTAAAAAATTATAATTCTTTCCTATTGGTGATTTTTATCTTTTTAAAAATTTATATTTTTATTTTTTTAAATTAATTAACTTTTTCTCATTTTTACACTCACAATATTCAAATCCACCTTTAACTTTAAATCCTTTCTCCTACTTTCCATCTTTCACACACACACACACACACATACACGTGCATTCTATCTATTCCTAATAGTTTTCATTGCATATTTATTATATAATTATACTAACTTCATTCCATTACAAATTTAAAAAAACTTTTCTTTGAAATTAAAATAAAATATATTCTTCAAAAATTAATAATGAATAGCAGAAAAAACAACATGAATAATAATGCATCGTCAAATAACTTCAACAACTCTACCATAAAAAACAGCAACAGCAATAATAATAATAATAATAATAACAACAACAACAATAATAAATGGTCGATTGGAAGAAAATCTATAATAAAAAATCTTCCATCCGTACTCAACAATCAAAAAAAATTATCAAATATTCATGAATTTCTACTAGACGAACCATTTTTTATTCAAAAATCTTCCACAAAAAATTCATCTACCAACAATGAAATTGAAGTTGATGCCGAACCAGAATCTAAAAAAGATCCATTGACAACTTCTATCTGGCGACTTTACACAAAAGCTAAAGATAATTTGCCTCACGGTATCAGAGTTGAAAATATTACTTGGAGGATGATGGCAATTTCTTCACTGAAAAAAAATCAAGGAAAAGAAAAAGAAAACAATATCTTTGAAAATCTCTCAGATAATGATAACGACGATAATAAAACTAGTATTAATGTTAATAGGCGTAATAATAATGGTTTAAAAGATTCTCCAAAAATTTCAGACACTATTTTAAAGTAATTATTTACTAATTCAAATATTTTTGTTCTTATTTATTCCTTTACGCTACTAATTATTACTTTTTTTTTTTACAATTCTTATTACATTTACAGAAGTCAGATAATTGGAAATTCTGAAATATATGATAATAACTTTGATATAGATATGGACAACGATAGCAATCAAAATGTTATTCCATTTATCAATAAAACATTCAATTACATCAATGATAATCATAACAATAGTAACAATAATTATACATCCGATGAGTTTATTGATTTTGCCGATAACGAAACAATATTATTCGAACACACTGGCATAGTCACTTCACCATCTGACACCAGCACAACTAACACTGATGATAATTACACCTCACCTTCTTCACCCGTCTTGACTTCAAAAACTTCCGCTATTCCAATTCCACCGGCTCAATCTTCTTCAACCAACAATAACAACTTTATTCATAATAATACAAACAGAATCAATAATAACACAATGATGGATATCTCTTCAATGGGTTATACTTTTGATATTGACTCTAATGAAAATTTGAATCAGTACCAATCAAATTTTTTAAGTAGAATGGTTGGGAAACAAGATCATTACAATGATCGTCCAATACTTGTGCCTGTATCTAGATCCAATAATAATAATAATTTCGATTTACAAAATACAATGATTTTTGAAAAGGTTTTTTTTTTTTTTTAAAGTAAAAATGATATTTATAATATTCTAATTAATCTATATTATTTTTTATTTTATTTTTTTATTAAAAAAAAAAAAAAAATATATATTATTTACATATATATATATTACTAAGTGTCATGATCTTGAATGATACTCCTCCTTATTACTCAA